TGGAGGAAGGGCAGCAGCTTTTGTGATTTCATTTCCTTGCTCTATGAAAATGACTAGGGAAAGCAAAGAAGTAAATGAGTTGAATCAGTGCTACAGACTTGCCTCTGCAGGCAGAAAGGAAAAGTCTGGTACTGAGGAATGGTTCACTGCAGGCAGCTGGGTAGAGCTCACAGCATGGCCTGAAGTAGTGTAAAAGGAGAACAACCAATGGCTCCATGGAGCTCCCTGAGAAACCGTCATTCCCTGAGAACAAAAACGCCTTGCTCCTGTGTGCTAAGTGGAAACAGGCTCAGCTGGCTGGCTTTTCAATCATGCCAAATCCCAGAGCTGTGACACGCAAGGAATAGAATCAAGGTTACAGATATAAGCGGCACTAAATCTTTTAACGCCCCGGGCAGTTGTTGTTTCCTACTCGCTCTAACTTGTCTCTCAAGCAGGCATCCACCTGAATTGACCACTTATCGGCACCACAGGCTTCAAGCTTAGGCAGCCCTACCTAGAAGCACTGAATTAGACACTTGTAATTTGTAGCTCCTTTTCCTTATCAGAGCAGCTGGAAACACAATAGGCTAATTAGAGACACAGCACTGTTTTCTAAAATGGAGCCAGGAATGGGAAGGAGGGATATAGTCATGACTGTTAGAAGTAATCACTGCTCACAACAGAGATGCATGTAATTCAGCACTGGTCAGGACTGAGTGCCAACAGTTCATTTACAGACAGTCCATGAGGCCAACTGAGAAATGGCCCAGACAGCTAAGAAGCACATTCTAGCAATTATGGCTGGACTGGTCTGTCAAGACTATCATTATCATCCAAAGCATGGAAGATCAGGGAGAATGTGCTTCACACAGGGAAGGAAACACACTTCCCTCCCCATCACTTATTGGCATACCAATTGGGAAGGTCAGCATGCACCTTCCTTCTCTGGCTGTCTTGATGACACATAACAAGGACTGGACCTCTCATCTTACCTGACAGGCCCTTTCTGGATAGCTCACATTCTACCAGGGAGAACCCTCTTGTGCAATTGCCACCCATAAGCTTGACCTTCTTGACATTTACATAAATTCAATCTGAGCATATAAACCATTTTCCTGCTTCAAATCTGGGTGAAAATAAATGTGAAGAGCTATCAGTTCATTAGCTTGTTCTCTGAGTTCTTCCTATGGAAAGAAAAATACTGAGATTTACTTAAGCAAGTGGGCAGAACTCAGACATTTTTCTTCTGATCATCAACCCAGGCCTCTTCAAATCAAGTCTGAATTAATCAAAGGGAAAAGTCAACTCATCTACACCATTTTCCCTGAGAAGCTGCCAGATGGCTTTGTTACTTCCTCCCAGTGGTTATGCCAACTCAAGACACTAACTCTTGCAGATAAGTCCACAGCGCTACCAGTAGTAGAGGTGGAACTAGTGCTGCAGTAACTGTAAGACTACCCTTTCCCAAGGCTACCCACGACACCACGGAATGAAGTACTGGCCAGCATTTGTCATCGTAATCCCCTCTCTCTCAAGTAACAACGCTAATGAGGATACCCATGGGTAATGGGGAACTAACCAATGGTTCATTCGCCAACACTCCAAAACCCCCTTCTTCTCAAGTAAACACCCTTCCCTTATTCCCCAGGGACTCTCAGACCTCGATGACAGCAGCGTAAACTAGAGGCAAAAATAAGATACATCAAATTTAAAGTTATTGTTTCTTTATTCTTTAAATTGAATGGCCTCAGACGTAACAGAACCTCAACAATATGAATGTTTGCACAACATTTCCTGAGAAGTACCTTTTCCTCCCCAGCTTACTATAGTCTGTGGCTAACCTCACCCTTTATCAAGGCTATTCAAGGAGGGAAAGGATGAGGGAATGGCTGACTCAGGGGGCTTGTATGATATGTTAAAAGATACACACCATACCTTGAGCTTGGCTTGGATCTCTCGAGCTTTTCGTCTTGCCAGGACCTGGATGTGACTAGATACCTGCATTGAAACACAAAATCCATCTTTATTCCAGAGAAGTAGTTGGGTAGCTGCTTGCAGAAGTAAACAACATACTATGGGCACCTTGAGCAATAGGGAATTATTTAGTTTTCTTTTTCCTTTTTTATTTTTTTGAGATAGCAATGAGATGCTTCTCTGAAAATAAATTAACTGTCATGAAGTGAGGTGGGGGAGAAGCAGAAATGGACCATTTAAGGCCTCTTTCAATTCAAATGGCTTTATCAAGCCAGAGACCTCTCTAAAACTGAAGAACTCAACCTTAAATTTGAGGACTGAGAGTTCTGATCTCTTTGCTCCTCAACCTAGCCTCCTCTTAGGAGGAGGGAAACCTGTGTTCTGCATCCCTAGCCATTATATAGTGACTCTCAGAACTTCTCTGTATCTAGTCTGGGCTGAAATGCATCACAGAATCATAGAATAATTTAAGTGGGAAGGATCTGTGGAGGTCATACAGTCAATCCCCTACTCAAAGCAAGTCCAGGTTGCTCAGAACCTTTTCAGAATTGCCTTGGAGATTCTGTCATTCCCAAACCACACAGAAATTCCTTTTTCATCCTCTGTGCCAAGTGCTTTGAAAATCACTATTGCTATCCATCTGTCTGGGCCAAAAAAAGAATCTTGATACAGAAGGCCATACTTACACACTGATGGTCACAGAAGCGCTCATTAGCAGACCAGACATACAAAATTGCACACTGCTTCGCAGCAGAAAATATTGTGTGTTGTGATATGATTGGGAGGGGTGAGTGTCACAGTCCAACTGTAAAATGCCTGAGCTGACTCTGCCCACCACTCTTATTAGCCAGCTCAGCACAACAATCTCTTTCAAAGAAAGTCAGAAACTGATAGCAAGTGAGCAGCAAAGGGATTTGTTCTCATAAGCCCTCTCCATGTGAAGTGGCACAAAGCAGATAACGTTTACAGAGGAAACTTTACACTTACCTGTTTCCTTGTCCGTGTTTTCCCTGTTCTCAGCTTAATATAGCGGGCTATCAGTTCGTTTCGGCCTGGAACAGAGAAATAATGCAAACACAAGTTTAGAGAGCTATGACCCCAGGCAAAAGATGCACAATGAAACTTTCTATCGTAGAGGTCAGCAGGGAGACAATATGATCTCACGCTATCTTCTGGCTTAGGAAGGTACTCATTCAGTTCACGCTGTAGAGGCCAGAGTTTTAGAAGCAGAACTTTGCGCTGCAAGTTTTACTTCCCAACTTGCATCTGTATAGCTTAAAAAGATCAGTAAAAAGGGGAATTAAATGCTTTGTTTAATACTTATATTACCATAGTGTATAGAAGCTGTAAGCACGGATCAAGACCACCAGTTCACAGAACAAAAAAGCAAGCTACTCGCCCTAAAGCACTCAGAATCTAACTACAAGAAAATAACAAAAAACAATGCAGAAGTATATGGAAATAGTTAGATGGTATTTATCAGTGCAGCATAACACAGTGAATGAAGTGTATTCAGGCTCTTGTAGCCATTACAGAAAAGGAGCATTCTTCAAAAGAGATAGGAAGCTTAGCTTTGTGGAAGTTTTTGGGGAGCTCTCATAAACAGGAAAGGGGGGCACAGGACGGGATAAATGAAGGAATGCTTGTTTGAAAAGAAAACAAGTGGACACTAAGGGTTGAAGGTTTTACATCTTGACTGTAAGAGATGCCAGAGTGAGATTAGGCCCTTCAGGGCCCAGAGGAGTGAAGCTTTGTTCAGTGTGAGAGAGAAGGAAAGGCCAGTGAAAAGATGGTCATGGTGACAGATGATGGAAATAGCACTAACAGAACCATGAACGAAATGGGTAATGAAATGTAAAGCTAGGAGGTCACTGGTACAGAATTTGAAATTGCTTGGAATGAGAGCAGAAGACTGCAGAAGACTGAGGTCCAAGAATTAAATAAAATCAGAAAGAGAAGCAGACAAGAGAAGGCTGAGCTACTGACAACTTCAAGAGCAAACAGGAGAAGAAAGCCTAGACTCTGATTCACAACTCGCACTACAAAACTATTTGAGAGTGTATACCAAGACATGAAGCAAACTATGCAGGTTCCATAAACTGGCTCCCATGTGCCAAGACTGACCAGATATCCAGTTTCTCTTCCTTTCTTTTGAACAGCAAGAATGTGATGGAGGAATAAAGAGCAGGAACAGAAAAGCAGCCATTGCACATCTGACCTGTAGGCTGAATCAAGGCAGGAAATGTGAGAGAAAGACCAAGCTTTACAAAAAATATAGCTGTGTTGACCACACTAGAGGTGACCGCACAGTACCTCTAGAAGAAGTTGGAGTGGGAAGTGCAAGGCTGTGAGAAATCATCTGCAACTGTTTAAGAATGAAGCACAAATAGATTGAGAAACAAAGCCACAGCTCCTGTGATACTTATTTATAACAAAGGCCTGGGGTTTTTTTACTTTTCTTTAAAAAGAAATGTTAAAAAAACATTATTTTCTATGAAATACTTAAGGAGTGAATGGAGAACTTGTAACAAGAAAAATCACAGAAAGCAAGCACTGAAAAGAAGGGGGATTTTAATTCAGAGTTTTTAATATTCCATGAAAGAGTTGTCACTTGCTTTTATTTTTAAACCATTATTTAACTCAACCTCTGCATAAACTGAATGTGAGGAAGGACTCAGTGCTAGAGACTGATCACCTAATCCTTCATGGAAGGTGTGGCAAAACCCCTAATTCCATCTGTTTCAGAAACAGAAGAGAGTAAACAGTCATGATTGTATTTATGCCATGCTCATGAAATGTAACCAAAGCACACTTAAGGATGGGAAAGCATTTTACACTCATAGATCTTAATATTTTCCTAATGATGTAATTCCAGAAGCTCTCCTTGTTCCCCTGGGAGAAGAAACAGATCCATAGCTGAGAAGGGAGGACAGCTCCAGCTCCTCCATCCACAAATTAAGAATTATTTCTGTGCCAGAAACACAGTGCTCAGCATGTAGCACTCTGACCTCTTCAGTTCCCACAGTTCCAGTATAACATGGCCAGGACAGTTAGATGGGACCAGATGCTCTTATGCTACCTTCCACCTGGCTGTTTTTTCCAACTAATGTAACCATTTTTACAAAGCTGAGACCAATTGCTGGTGAGATACATCCATACCACTTTCTTCTAGAGGCCAGAATAGTATTTATGGCTTTCCACAGCCTCTATCTGCTGGACATGGATCAGATTCACAAGGTAAGAAACAATGGAAGTGATGGGGAAAAGGCACGGCTACCATAGATGCTGGCATAATCCAGAGTTTCAGAAGACATAGTTTGACACACATCAGAAGTAGGAAATGGGGAAGATAAAATAAGGTGCTCAAACCCCATTATCTATAAAGAAACAAGGAATGTGTATACGCACCAAGAAAAACTTCCTTCAGGGGGAGACAGAATGAGTCAATGAAAAATTAGCCCTGAAAAGAACTGGATGAGTAAAATTTCAGGCAGACAAACTTTAATAGGTGGCAAATTGGGCTATACCAACAATCTGAACACATGGAAGCTTTGCAGACACTGGCTGAGGATGGATCATCCTTGCATCGGAACTAAATTTTAATAAATTCTCAATTAAATATAATAAATGTTATATGGGCAAGTTTAGCTTTGTTGTGATTCCCTGAAAGACAAGGAATTACCCAGATAGAGCACAATCCTCCACAAGTGTCTGTATTGTGCAGATATCAGGGTTTTGGTAGCAGGGGCTTGCAGGGATGATCTGTGTGGGAAGAGGCCATGAACTGTCCTGTGCCAGTCACACCTAGTTCCGAAACAGATTAAAAACAATCAATTGTAAGCCTAAACTTCAAACACTCAGGAGTACATGTTGCCTCTTCTCAAATATATTTAGGAAAGAGCAGTAGCCACTGGGGACAGAAGACACAGGTGGACACATAGAAGGACATATGTGAGGACTCACATGAAGAGACACAAAAGGGAACACGTGAGGATACATAAATGGAAACACAACAAAGAGAAACATGAGAAGACACAGGAGGATATACAAAAGGCAGGGAGGGACATGGGAGGAAATATCTAGAGAGATGTGTTCGGAGAAAAGGAAGGAGAAATGGGGAAGACACGTGGAAGGAGACATTAAGGGAGACATAACTGGAACTATACTCTTGGAAGGAGGCACTCCATGCCTCTGAGGGGCTATGGCCTGTGAACAACCCATGCCAAAGCAGTTACACCCCTGAAGGGATTGTAGCCTGTGGAGAACCCATGCTGGGGCAGGACTACCCCCAAAGGGACTGCAGCCCATGAAGGAACCCATGCCTGAGTAGGCACGCCCTTGAAGGGACTGCAGCCCATGGATAAGCCACACTGGAGCAAGTACAGCCTTAAAGGACTGCAAGCCTGTGGAGGACCTACACCGGAGCAGGTACACCCCCAAAGCGATTGCAGCCTGTGGAGAAACCACACTGGAGCAGATTAGCAGTAAGAAGCAAGGAGCACCTTGGAAGGAAAAAGTAAGCAGGAGCAGCAGAAAGAAACCATTACAAGCTGACCCCAACCTCCTGTGCTGCCCATTGCCTCAGCTAAAGGAATTGGGAGGGACTGAGCCTAATACACAGCAAAAACAAGGGAAGCTGAGACTAGGAAAGAGGGAAGGAGGAGAGGTGGTGGACTGAAGTTGAACCTGGGGAAGGGGGAGGAAAGGTGTTTCCCTAACGGTTTAATTGTTTTTCTTCTTGTTTTTCTCAATACCCAAAACAGGAAATAAAAGTTTATGTTAATTGGCAACAAATTCAATGGAGTGAATTTCCTCAAATCAAGACTGTTTTGCCCATAACAGTATCAGCAAAAATTACAAAGCTCTCTCATGCCATATTCTTCACTGGAGAAGACTGAAGACAGAGGGAACTGTTGTACAACCTGCATACGTTAGAAGCTGTGTTAGAAATTCTCTGGAAAGAGAGCATTCAAATATAGATCCCCAAAATTTCCAGATTTACAATTCACTTCCCACCTGACACCCCTCATATAAACATGCTGCCTTCCTCTCCCAAAATTGTGTCCCCACAGAGCCAGGGGATGAAGAGAGGGGGAAGAATATATTAAAGCTAGTAAAGATACTTTTAGCAAAAACTGGTCACCCCACAAAGACATTAGCATCACAGGGATTACCAAAGACAGAACTATGCAAATTGCCAAGCCTAGCAATCTTCCCAGCAGAAAGGTATTATATTACAAAAAAATCAAAACAGCAAAAGAAGCAAGTCCTATATGTCTTTTGTTTTCCTTATTAGAAGTTTGATGTATGCAGACATTAGACTGCTGGAAGTCTGTAGGTTCACAGACTATGGAAAGCACTTTCTTTGTTTCACAGCCCTGGCTACAGTGTAAGCAAAAGCTAGCACTCTTCACTCAGCTAGAACAGACAGAGCTGTCATAAACTGTCAGATGGTTCATTTTTTAGGACCATGTGAAGTGTCCCTCAGTAATCTGATCATATGTTGTGTTCTTAGAATAACTCCTGTTGAGGCCTGCCATGGTCACCGGAACCTGCCAACAGTTGTGATTCTTCTGTCGAAACAGCGCATTAGGTTTCATGAAGCTTTAGCCAACATACCAACTGCAGCCCAACACCCAAAAGCCCTTTATCCTCCCTGAAGCCTTCCCCTTGGAGGCACGTTATGAAAAAAAAAGGAGGAGAGAGAGAGAGATCTTGTCTCATGTTCTTTACTCGTACTCCTAACAGACAAACTTTCAAGGGCCTCAATTCAGCTCCTAAACCTCTCACACTGAATTGCAAAATTTTGCATTCAGCAATTACCAGGAAGGTGTTGCTCACAGAGTTGTAGAGGCTTTTAGATTCTCCATTCTACACCTGTGCTTATTCCAGGGTAACAGGAGAGAAGTATCTCCCTCCAAGGGGAGCAGAGGGGGAGCAGGAGAAATCAAGAAAATTCCCAGAGCCATAGAAAGTATTTCCAAATTCTACTTCACAGCTTCATGTTGGCTCTCTGCTAGTAATGGTATAATACTGCTTGTACAAGAGGCAG